CTTCTGTTCCACTGCGACCAACGTGTCATTGGCAGTGCTCATATCTTGGTCGATCTCCCAAACTCTCACCTGGAAAGCAAACATTTACAATGTAAGATAGACTTTTAGCTTTTAGCTTAGTCTTTTTCTTGTTTTTTTTTTTTAATTTAAGATTTAGTTTATATGAGTCAGTGAACAATACCTTATATCCGAGAAGCGGCTCCTCCTCGTCGGTGGGCTGCACGTAGCGCCACACGACGCGCACGGTGCTGGGGTTGACGGCCCACACGTTGACGGAGGCGGGCGGCTTCTGTGGCGCTTTGCGAAACGTACGCTCCAGGAACCGCTCGCTCTCTGGACCCTCGCCCGCTGAGTTAAAAGCCATTACCTGAAAATTATAAGATAAACAAAGATAAACTTAGATACTTACATAGATTATACTTATTAAATCTTACACTAAGAAATTATTTAATGTATACATACCTTTACGTAGTAATATGTATCAGGCTGCAATCCCACAATGAGAGCCCAGTTTCTGGTCGTTCGTGACAGATAGTAAATGCATTCCTCTTCTTTGTTTTCTTGTTTCCAGTACTTGAGACGGTGGCCTATGAGCCTGCCGCGCAAGCGGTCTCGCGACTGGTCGATGGGATCCCAGGTGACGTTGAGCGCGGTAGAATTGAAGGAGCGCGAGTAGACCTGCTGCGGCGCCACTTGCGGCATGTCCTCCGCCGAGTAGATGGTGGCCATTTCGCTCTCCGGCCCCGCGCCCAGGCTGTTTAGGGCCTGCACTTTCACATTGTATGGCGTGTAGAAGTAATTCAATGACACATGAACGACATGCATCCCCACGTTACCGTATTCTTTAAGCAGGAGCGACTGGAATTCAACTTCGGTGCCGTTTCGGCGCCAAAATATTTTGTAGTGTATGCCGGGTCCGTTCTGAAGGTGAGGCGGAAGCGGCGTCCAAGTGATCGTAAGATCGCCAATCTTGCCCCCGCCCCCGCCCACGTTGGCCGGAGCTTGGTACGGCTTGTCTGGTAACGTCGAGAACTGCGGACTCGGTGCTGACGGTTTTCCTACCCCTAACGCGTTAACGGCCTGAACTCTGAACTCATACACGGATCCAGGCATAAGGGCCGTATTTAAAATCGCTCGTTTTCGTCCATTGTATCGATCTACCTCAATTATATTACCTATGTTGTCGCTAATCACCGTCCATGAAGTATTCCACTGCGTCCGACCTGTGAGGACGTATGAAGTGACCGGACGACCGTTAGAGTTACTGTCTGTCCATTCGAGAGTGATAGACGATCGGCCAATGTTCATTATCTGCAATCCACCGGGCGGACCGGGCGGTCCTTCGATTCGCAACTGAGTGTGTGATGAAATACGACCGATTGCAGACTTAACGACACATTCATAGTCACCCACGTCGGATAGCGAAACATCGAAAATGGTTAGCTCTCCGCCGTCTATCTTTAACCTCTTATCAGCATACATATCCGATTCATCCTTAAGTCTCATACCATTATGATTCCAAAGATAAGCCGTGTCCAAGATAGGATCAATTTCTGCATTACAATGTAGGAAAATAACTTGACCAACTTGTGTTGTTATTCGTGGTGGGAGACGCTCCAAAAATCGTGGGGTCCTTAAAACTATAAGACGTCCTCTGCTCTCATCAGATCCATACTGATTCTTTGCAACACAAGTATAAACCCCTTCATCATCTCGGGAGAGCTGTCTTATGATGAGATTACCCGTCTCTGTTATGAATCTTTTACCCCCAGCGCCAATGACAATATTGTCTTTTTTCCACGTAAAAGTGGGTTTAGGTGCCGCCTCTGGATTACATTTCAGTGTTACATTACCACCTTCTGACCCATAAGTTTCGGATTCTAGAGGTCTCTTTTTAAATGATGGTTTTAAAGATAAAACTCTCAACTGACCTGTTGAATATTTAGCTTTTAATTGATTTTTTGCTTCACATTGATACATGCCAGGATCCCTGGTGGGGTCCAAAAATTTTATTATTAACACATTATCTTGTATAATATATCTATCTCTATCTTCATCTTCTAATGTGTCCATAGAAAGTTTGACACCGTTTTTCCACCATGTGTAATTAACATCTGGAATACCAAATGCTTCACAGTTCCAGTGCAGATCTCCCTTGTTGTCCATGTGTTTATCAGCAAGAGGTATAGTAAAATTGGGCTCAGCCTGAACTTTTAAAAACACACTATTGTGAATGTTAGCTCTGTCATTACGTACATCACATACATATTCACCTTCATCCTCTACACCAACATTAGGTATGGTCAGAACTCTGTCAAAATTACTAAAGTGAGCTTTTCTCGGTATATTTCCATTCTTCCTTGTCCAGTTGTATGATGGTACAGGATAGCCAAAGGAAACACATTCTAATCTTACTTCTTGCCCTACAACAGGGGCATCAGGAAAGACTTTTGGAAAATTATTTGGGAACTTAAGTTGTTGGTAATCGGAATGAGGATAGACATACAAGGGGAAAAAGGGTCCATTTCTACCAGCATCTGAGACCTTGCTCATTACATTACAACTGTAATTACCTCGATCTATAGTTTCAAGAGCTGAAAAATATAAGCCACCATCATAGGATACAAATACTCTTTTATCTTCTTCGACAAGGTTAGGGAAATAATTTCTAGCCCAGAGGAAATTAACAGATGGATAGTATGAGGGAGGATCACAGGACATTACTTTACCCCAGTACTGATTACCACTCTCAATGGGTCTCTTTTGGTTAAACTCTCTTATAAAACCAAACGACAATCTAACAGATTCAGATCGGATAGTGCCAAATTTATTGGAAGCCGTACAGTGATATTGTGCATTGTCCGTTTCAGCATTTGGATTATAAATCATCAGGGTACCACCACTTAATATAAACCTTGGATCCAATAATGGATCTATTTCTGTGAAAACCAGTTTATCAACTTGATAATCTTCTCTAAACCATTTGTATGTTGGAGCTGGAAAGCCACCTGCAATACAGGTTAATTGAACATAATGATTTCTCAATGGATCATAAATTGTGTCAACAGGTTCTTTAGTTAAAAATGGTCCTCTCGGAATAGCTTCAGGATCAAATCTCTCTAAACCATATGTAAATGATCTCTCTTCTTCAATTAAATAATGCAATCTTTGTGTTTGTCCTTCACAAATAAAATGGTAATACTGTGTCCCCTCCACAGGAGCCAGTCCCCACCGACCTTCCTCTTGCATAAATCTATAAACTAAATAGTCTAAAGGATATAGATTGTAGCTTGTTAATGTTAATTTATGATCATCAAAGAAGGCATTTTCTAAACCTGTCAGTTGCGACCCATCGCCTTCATTAGCCCAGTAGCCTGGAGATTGTTGATGTGCGCCGATATACCATGAGCCTTTCTGCGGATCTAACTTCATGAGGTTAGTTATAATAAAGCCGTGCTCCTCGGGAGTGTTAACCGATGCCAAGTCGGCGCTATACGCTTGGCAAATTTTACGAGCTTCATTTCTCGGTCGATCTGGTGACTTTGTGAAGCGATAACATGATTCTCTGTAGCGAATCCAATTAGGTGGACATCTATACCTTTCCTCGTAGTCTAAGCCTGCATAATAGTTCGCCGTGTTTTGTGGATCAACATCATTGTCTCCATCGTTGTATGTGTCAGAGTTAGCGCTGTTCTGATAAAAAGAACTTTGAGGCTGGATATATTCATTGCCGTTTACGGGAAAACTACCGTACGGCACCTGTGAATTCGGTCGATATACTGACCCGTTCAAACTTTGGTCCTGTTGCAGTTTATAATTTGGATTAAATGGTATTGATGTTTCCATTCCCTGGCTTCTGGCATAATGAATAACGGCCAATAGAATAACAAAACTCTTCATATTTTTCCTATTATTTAACAGAACAGCACGAAAACTATGTTTAAACACCATTAAGTCATCACCACATCTTTAAAAGGGACTACTTCAACTTCCCTTTTATACCAAATAATTCAAACAATGTATTTTAAAGAAAACAAGAAATTGCCTCGCCCTCTTTTTATGCACAAAAAACGTAAACGGTCATCGGTAGACAGCGGAAGAACGACGATCGGTGAATGAAATCAATAGAGATTGATCGAAAATTGTGTAAACGATGAATCGATTTCTTTCACCTTAAAAAATAGAGTTTAGGACTGAATTGATTTATTCTACTAGGAAATCGATATTATATTTTAGAGTAATAAAAATCTTAATATAGAAAAATAGAAGGAATCAACATGGCGAAAGTGATTTTGGACATTTATAAGGCACTTCTAACGAGGCAACGTTCCATTCTTGTTTTCCAAAAAAAAATATTTATTTCCTCGTTGTGAGTATAAATACAAAAATATCGATACTTCAAAATATTCTAGATATCAAGAAATGTCCAAAAAATCGATCTTTTTCAAAAAGAGCTTCCCTAGAGTGAACGAATATTGTGAAGTGAACTTGAGAATGACAAAGAGTATTTTATATACTCTTTGGAGTAGGTAAGTTGCGGTGTTTACATTAAGTCAGTACAGTAGGATTTTATGGGCTAACTGGAGCCAGCTAACATTCATGACGTCGTTGTTGTTGGAGTAATTTCCAGTCCTTCCTCTCTTGTGCCATCTTTACCTCCTGAATTACAGTAATAAAACAAGTTTGATATTATATTGAACAAGGAATAATACAATAGTTATTTGCCATGGGATTTAATGTTTCTTTGATTATGAAATTAGCTTTTATATTGTATATACTCTTAGTTAAGTAGTAAGCTTTGAGTTCTAATGATAAATAGTATTTAATGTTTGACGATTACTCGTCTCAACTGGAAAAGTTTTCGGAGTAGAGAGCAGAAAAAAAACTAGATTCAAATCACAGAGAATATACATACCGGGAAATTTAAAATGTTACCAACTAAAACATAATCTCATATGCCACTGCACAGAATTACATAAAGGTGAAATAAAATACATATAAATTGATCACTTTTTTTATTTTCATGTTACCAACAAGTATTGTGTCAATAATTATTAATAATACTTACACTGTATGTACTGCTAACAACGGAGAGGCATTGTGATTGTATACATCTTTATAATTTATTATCTTCAAACCATTTCCGCGCACAAGATTATCTCCCTAATATTATTTCATCACAGATTTATCATGTACTTGTTCGTTTTTTTTTGTCTCCATTAAGAAATATAGGGCGGATATGAGGTGGTCTCAAATGCGGAATATAAAATAAAAACTGCTTAATTTATACAATGTTCCAAAAATGTTATTTGTATATTACACACTAAGTAAATGCCGTAATATACGCGTTGCGGGTAGGACGTAACCGGCAGTTATAAGACAAGATATCACTTCTGAATAAGTTAGAAAATAATTTCGATCGTATTATTTACAATGTTAATAGATATTTTTTGCGATATGCATATTATTTTTTTTCATAAATTTTTCCTAATTCATTTACAGCATTGTATAAATAATAAAACATAAATTGACATTCTAATTATTGTAAATAATTGTACAATAATAAAACGTATTTCGGGTAGACAAATATTGGCAAACATAACAATGAACAAAAAAAAATGTACTCACTAAATAATAGAAGATAGAAAAAATATTCCCTAACATAATCTCAAAACATGTATGATATAGTGCAAACAATATTATTAACAGTACACAACAATTAATTTATATATGTGATACCAACGGACATAGTAACTTTTACTATTTGCATATTACAGATCTTTTTACATACACAGAATTGCATTTACGATTTGATTAATGGTTCAACACACTCATTGTTGTATCAGAAAATATGAGATCTTAATATTTTAGCACAGTATTTTGAAGAATATTGCAAATTTAGCATTTCCGGACAGTTGTTTCTATGTTAAATATAAAAAAGAATAAATAAATTTATTTGTAGTACTTGTGTGTAAATGATAGTATAGTATAGTAGTCCAATGACGTCGTAGCATCGTGAAAAGTATCCAATCAGTTTAGATCATGATGGGTTTAGGTTATAGACTGACTCTCAAGTTATCATGCCCGAGTTGTATCCAACCATGTGCGGGCCCATCTCTGTTATACAAATAAAATCATCTACCCACGCCTCCTATTGCACACACAGATCAAATTATGCTAAACACTTAAATAACATTATGGTAACTATATCTCATTAATTTAATTTCATAATTACACTACCGTGCTGATGCACTTTATTTAACTAACAACTAACCCATACACCAACATTAAATAGCACCCATGAGAATATCATACATAAGCGACATTTAAACTATTTACAATTATATACATAATTTACATATTTGAGAGTAAATACAACCTCTCTTTCACACTCAAAGCAAAGTAACATGAATACATAATGGCTGCCTTAAATTATACAGTCTCATAAATCGAATATTCTTTGTTTGTTACCTACATGAGGTACAATCTTGTTCATTACAATAAATCAGTCAAATCAGCTCGGTTTCAAGATCTTGTGGAATTATTGTTATATGTAAAATGTGTATTATGCATTTTTGTACAACAAAATAACTATATAAAAAGCACATTAATCTACAAAATATATTATACTTGTATGTTCTTTTATTGTAACAACAAACTTGATTGCTTGGAACTATTGTTTTATAAAAATCTTGTTTATAAAGTTTGGTGTTTCATGTGTTATGCAGTACTTTTCAAGTTTCTTTAGTTAAATCGATTAAGTTATAGAAATCCCTTAATTTTTAGTTTGTGTTCAATAATTAAGGTTAAATTGAATGAGTCTACAATAATGCACACTATGAACACATAATTAAGCGGCATTTATCTAATATCAGCTAACGAGTACGGTCTCTATTTTGAGGAGCTGTCGAAGCTTGTCGGTGACCCTAATGAGGGCAACTTTGGAGGCTCGCACGTTGACCTTCTCCCCGGCGCACAGCAGTTGGTGGCACTGCGCTCTCTCTAAGAACTCTTGGGTTCGAATCTCGCGTAGTAACTCCTTCGGGGATCCGGACCCGCAGTGTATTTGTTTCAGCAGACTATCTTTTGATTTTATCTGGAATTTTATAATATGAATATTAGTTGATGTTTCTAACAATTGTTATTTATTTAAATACGACCTTGAACTCTAACTGACTGATTAGTGTAGAATTACATATCAATTCAATCAGATAGCTTAGTTAGCATTTTATTGTTTCTTGTTTATACAAAAGAGTATTTAGTTGTACTCAGAGTTGTATATGTTAAACAGCTATATCACAAAAATGTTCACCTGTAAGACATTGGCGATGTCTTGCAGCAGACACCAGAGGCCGTCCACAGGTTGTCCGGCGGCAGAGCGCAGGCTGTAAAAGGGCGGCAGCGGCGCGTCCGTCGTTTGGATCTCGACAGTGGTGTCAGTGGGCGGCGGCGATGTCGCGGGTGGTGGAGACTGCAGCGGGTCGCAGCCCAGCTCCTCGCAGTCTGACGATTATAGTCATTAAAATATTAGTATTATTTAGGAGGATAGATGAAGTATGTTGACTCTTGTGTCATAAATCGGCGATAACAGACGGCATGTTATCGTGAAACAATGCAGCTATTAAGGCAATAAGGACAGTAGAAGCAAAATTGATCTACGAATTTGCCATACAGTTCAATATCAAAATGACAAAGGGACAAATACTTGTCAACTCACCGATGGGTTCAGTGAGCGGTGGGAATCGCCAGGGCTCCAGCGCTTGCCCCTGTACGTCAGCGACATGCAGGCGCAGCAGCAGTGCGGCGCTTCCCTCCGCCAGCTCGCCCGGTGTCTGCCCTGCGTACGTGCCCAGCAGCGGGTCTGCGCCGTACGATAGGAGTAGCCGGATCACTTCCACGTGACAGTTCTCGGACGCCTCGTGTAATGGTCTAAAATAAAATTATCTTGTTTATAATCTGTATCATTATTAAGACCTAGTGAATGATGAATTATATTTACCTAATGCCCCCCTGCGCGGCGGCGGACACGTTGGCGCCGTACTGCAGCAACAGGCGCGCGATGCGCACGTGCCCCCTAGCGGCGGCCACGTGTAGCGGCGTGAAGCCCGCGTTGTCCTTCGCCGAGGGGTCTGCCTCCATTTTCTCCAGGCAGTATGCGACGCAATCCTGAAATAACAACACAATGTAGTATCGCAAGATTTAATTTGTAACATATAAAGATAAATAATGATGTAAACTTACAGTAAAGCCAAGTCTGGCGGCTCTATGCAGGTGTGTTTCTCCAATACTTTTATTAATAAACCAACTTTTAATCTCCTTCTGTATATCATGGACGGACTCTGGACTCGGCTTAGGCGCCGGTCGACGTATTTTGTTGCAATTATTGTCATCTTTTCTTATCATTTTCTTCTTTTTCCGAATGTAATCAAATCCGGAGCTAAATTTTCTTCTTCCAAATAAACGTTTAAATTTTCGCTTTGTGTTAGTCTCTGCAGTTTCGGGAGTACCATTTTCTTCTTTTGAGTTGTCTTTGTTTTCCGGCGTCGGACTTTTCTCTTTCTTAACTTTATTAGCGTTGGATTCTTTCCGTTTAGCATTGAATGTTTTCATCAAATTATTTCTCTTTTTTAACCGTAGCATACGACCTTTAGCATCGTTACGTTTCAAAGACTTAGTACTTCTCAAGCCATCTCGTATTGAGCTAGATCTACGTTTCATCTTTTCTTTCGCTATTTTCCTTGGCTTCAATTTTGGTTTAGGTTCAGATTCTTTTTTAACTTCGACGACTTTTTCTTGTTGCGGCTCTACTACTTCCTCCTGCCTGCAGGAGGTCGGCGGCGCTGAGGCCGGTCTCTCGTCTCCGAACACCTCTTTTATTGTAGCTCGTTGTTTCAGCACACGGCTCTCGGTTCTTGTTCTAGTTTGTAGTACCATTGGCGTAAATTCCTCCGTAGTACCAAGTAACCCATCGGTGTTCTTGATAAAGGCATGTCTAAATGCCGTAACAGTTTCTTTTCTGAATGCTCCCAAATAAAATATATCTTCCATTAGTTTTTCTTTCTTTGCACTCAGGTTGCCTTTGCTGCCATTTTTTACTAGGCCCAAACTTGGGGTTGCTAGTAATTCTGAAACATTTGAATTTTTTTGAATAATCTTAGCGTTTTTTTCATCTTTATCTTTATATTTTTTCTTCGTTTCTTCCTTTTTCCCATATTTTTGTATGAGAACATCGACAATAGAGCTAGACTTCTTTTTGACTTTACACGAAGAGAAAACAGTAGATGTTGAAGCCTCCGAGTCATATTGGAGGCGATTAGGTGCGGAACAACTCGAATTTGAATCTAAGTCACTATCCAAATTCATTTTATCAGGGCGTCTACCATATAGATCATCCGTCGCTGCCGATTGAGAGGATGACGGAGCGGGTGACAGTGGAACTGGATCTAAATCTGGAAGTGAAGTCGAACCTCGCGTAAATAAATTAGCTGAGCCTTTAGCAAATGGCTCTCCAGATCGTCCCCGAGGTATAGCTATAAGCCTCGTAGGCATGCGGAGAGATCTTTTGTATTTGTAAAGTTCGTCTTCCCATCCGGGATGAAAATTAGAGCCATCTCCAAAACCAGGTTTACGAATTGGAGTTGAACTATTGCTCGCACTGCTTGTATCTAATTTCTTTGATGGAGATGACTTAGTGGGAGTTTTGTTTGTTATTTCGTTTTTGTTGTCATCAGTTTTATTGACTTTACGCATACGAAGTCTACTTGCAACACTCACATCATCGTCACTATCAGAACTAGAAATATCATTTCGTTTCTCATTTTTACTTTCAGCAACCGATGTTTTGCCTTTTGTTTTGGATATGAGCCTAGTGGTCTTTCCCTTAGCTTGTTTTTCAACTTTTTCTTTAGGTATGCTTTCAGTAGATTTTCTACTATTCCCGCTGACTTGCTCATCGCAACACTCCAGCTTTACGTACACAGATTTTTCTGATAAATCCTTTAACATTTGGTATTTAAGTTCTCTCTGGACTTTTTCTTTCATTATTTTACTTTTTATCAATGGTTCGTCTTCATCTGTTGAATCCATTTCTTCTTTTATGACCACTTTTGATGGGAGGCTATCATTTTTGACGGGTGTTGCAGAAGATGTCGGTAAGGTATCTTTTTTTTCTAGTTTTGTTTTATTTTTCCCTTGTGTTTTGGATTTAGGTGCTTTCTCGTCGTCTTTTTTATCTTTATTTTCGACACTTTCATTATTTTCAATTTCATTAGGTATTTCAGTAATGAGGTCTTGCCCAGTTTCAATGCTCGTTTCAGTTTCTATTTTCTCATCCTCATCAATGGGTTCCTGCTTAATTTCAATAACGGTCGTGGTATTAATTTCAGTTTGATCCGAGGTACTTTCGTCTGTTCCTAGTTTTACAACTTTTGGAATTTTCATTTCAGTTTCATGATCTAGAGTGTCATTGCGTTTTCTATTTATTTTTTTCCTCGAACAACCTGTTTTTAGTTGTTCCATGAAACTATCACAAGCACTAGCCCAGTCTAAGTCTTCAGGTGATGACTGGTCTAGAGGTACTAAATTTTCAGGTTCTAAGCCCCTTAAAATATTTTCCGACTTAATTGAAGCTACAGCATCCTTTTCTATCTCATCAATATTCATAGGCTCTGCTTTTACTTCAGCAATAAATTCATCATTTGGTTTTTCATTTTTTATCACTGATTCTAATCGTAAGTTATCTTCTCTAATCTGATTGAAAAGGTGTTGTTTCTGAGATTTGGGAAGTAATTTTACCTTTTCGGAATCAGAATCAGACGATTTGTCTTGTTTTTGATTGCTATCTTGAGACGGAGGCATTACTTTTAATTCCGCTTTTGTGCGTATTCTAGCGGCGACGTCGTTTTCAGGCGATTTACTTTTTGGTTCAGAGTTATCGCACTTTTGATAATCAGAATCACGGGCGAAAGAGTCTACAGCCTTTGGCATTTGTATATGATGATCAAGTAAGGAATTATTTTGATTAGACTGAATTTTCGGATCATTTTTATTCGTCGGTTCCTGTTCACCGTCTTTAGTTAAATCTGTAATTTCTATAACAGAATCATCTACGTCATCAAGGACAATTACATCGGATATCTGTCGAATAGGCCTTGTCGTTTCGACATATCCTGTTTGTTTAGTTTCTAAACTATTTCTTAATATACTCAAAACGCTCTTATTTGCAGGACCGTTTTGCACATCTAAATGTTGGGGGTGTACATCTTTATGGCTCGGAATTTTCTGTATTACATGACGGCTACTAGACGGAACTCTATCGTGGTAGTGAGCTTGATAATCACTGATATCGCGATTAACTTTTTCTGGATATACGGTACGACTGTGCCTTTGTGTTGTGTGAGGATGATGATCACGATACATGTTTGATGCTGTAACTCTTTTTTGATCATTTTGATACGCCTCAAATCTTTTATGACTACTGTAACTATACACAGGTCGACTCATTAGCTCATGCTGTTCACGTGCCGATTGGCTCATACGTTCTATCCGGCTATCTGAAGTCCATGTTTCATATCTTACTAATTTTTCCGGAATGTTGCTTACAATAGGTCCAGCTGGACGTTTTCGTTCTTCCATTACAATTTGGGGATCTTCTCGAGCTCTTTCCATCTGTCTTTCATCGGCAACTGATCTTGTGAGGTCTATTCTAGGAACATAATCTGTCCTAGGCTGAACGGGGCCATTATATTTACTACGATCGGTGTAATGTTGATGGCGAGATTCTACAGGATACGCTATTCTTTCAGCAACAGGTCTTGCAGTCTCGTAAGTTCCGTTGTAGCGCACTGGTTGTGGAGGAGTAGCGCAATTATGATTCGTATTTCTATCTCTATATTGATTAAAGTCAGGTGCAAAATCAACTTTATGAGATACAACATAACCCGGTAAAGGCGGCACTTGGCGGCTACTGGAAGTAGGTCGCGGTTGCAATGGAAGCGATTTACTTTCATAAGACGCGGAATCAATTGCATCATCTTGAGTCGTAGAAGAGTCGGCTGAGTTTTTAACAGTTTTTACGGATAAATCAAGAGGGGACTCTCTTTTAGTCTGGTTCAATTCATTCACTATAGACGTCACAGAAACCGTCATTCTTGCTTGTTGATTACTATAGCCGGCCTTTACTGAAGAACGAGAGGGTGAACTCTGAACTTGATTCACTGGCGAATAATTATAATTTGTCTTGGCGACGGCCACCGTTCGGTATGATGTTCTCGGTTGGAGTGAAGTGTTATGATGAATGGTCGGCACTGGTGCACTAGGCGCATATCTTACATGAGATGTCGACGGTGAGGGATAATGGTAACTCGGTCTAGTATCGACAGATCTACTTTTCCCGTGAAAATCAATTCGCGGCTGTATTCGTGTGGGCTCATTGCCCAACGGTTGAGGTTGAGTCTGGGCGCGTTCCGAAGGTCTCACTGCGAAATGTGTATTCAAACCTTCTGGCCTACTATGCTTGTACTGAGGGAGCGCCTCGACGCGATGATTTTGCGTTGAAGGACTGGGTCTGTAGCCTGGATATGCTTGTTGAGGATCATACTTCCGCGCGGGTATCGATGGATGCCTATCGTAATGAGATGTACGCGGCAAGGACGATTCACGACGATGAACCGGAGGCAGGTAAGCTTGAGCGGAGCGTCCTTCAATGGCGGCCCTCTGTGCAGGAGGCGGCGCCTGCGGATGATGTATCGGTGGGACACGATCGTTGTGCGGCGGCGGAGCCTGAGCCGGTTGCATAGAATAGCGGGCTGACGGTGGGCTCTGGACGGCAGACTCACGTAAACGAGCAACGGCATGCTGTGGCATGACGCTGGACAGCCTCGCATAAGTCGTTGGACTGTGTCGTGCGGGGATAGGTTGTGGCGACGCCACCGGCGGGCCGTGTGAATTTCGACCGCCATCGTGTACTGTCGGTTCGTACGGAAATCGGGCGAATGATTCTGGAGGGCGTGAAGATGAATAAGGATCGGGCGGTCTGCTCGGCGTATATTGATCCGGCGGCCTCGCCGTTGGAGTTTGCACCCGTTGAATAGACGATCGATATTGCCCATGTTGTTCTATTTGAGGTTCAGACGATGTCGGCCGGGCGAGAGGCGCCGTTGAGGGCGGTCGCGCCGGAGACGGACAGGGCGCAGCGGGTGCAGGCGCCGGGGACGGCAGCGTACGCGGAGTAGGCTTGCGAATGATGTGCGACGGCGGTGATAACGCTCCCATCGGCTCTTCTTCATCTTCCGGATCTGGCATTTCTCGTCTCTTCTCGGCTGCCTCGCGCATCACAGTCGCTTTGTGAATTATGTGGGGCTCGGGCTCGATAGGTTCCGAAGGGGGGCGGGACGGGCGTGGCGGCGGCGCAATCACCGTAGGCCCGGGTGTGGAAGGCGGCGCGGCGGCGGCAGAAGGCGGGCGAGAAGACGGCGCGGGAGCTCCTGACTGGGCGGGCGCTCCTTCTTCCGGCGGCGGCGCGCTCGTCGGCCAGACAGGCTGCCCGCTGCCCTCGGCCTGAGCCTGTTTAGGTAGCCCCATGAAATACTGGCGCGTCCCTTCGAATACATTATTGAAACCGTAGTCCATAATCTGCACTTCGGTTGCGCACCGTCTGAAAATAATGAGAAATATTTAAAAAAAAAACATTAGTAATAAGCGAAAATTTTGCGTTATACATAGTAAACTGTTCCGCCGAACAAACTACAATACAAAGCGGTACATATCGAGCGTAAAGTTTTGAAGTCGGGGTCGTTACACGCCGGTTGTCCTTGAGCGTACTTCGCCCTCGCGCGTCTGTCGCGTCAGCGCGCACACAATGAGACATGTTTTCGCAAAACTAAAAATTTCGTCGTTTCATAACACGAAATAATAAGCGAGACCATTAAGAAATCAGATTTGAAGCTAAAATGAAAACTAAATTGACAGTTGGAGTTTCAGGTAAAAAGTGAACACGAGACACAAATGGAACGTAGTTGTATTTTGGTATCCATAAAGTTTAAAGCTATATGTTGCTGTAGACGTGTTTGAGGCGATGTATTGGGCTGCAGCGCGGCCGGAGAAAGCTGTCGCCGGGGCGACGGCAATCGATTGCATTCCCGGGACTGGCGAGTCCGCGCCGATGACACGTGGCTACGATCAACCTTCCTTCGTCCTCGTCATACGTACGCCGCAGTCGTTCCTCACGTTAAAATGTATTTGCTATTTATAGATATATCGTTACTCTTTAAAGTTTGAATATTATTGTGTTCTGTTAAGACAAATTTATACAAGTCTAAAGAAGCAGCCATCTCAGTCTTAATTTAACTGTTTTGTGTTGTAAAGCACAGTTAAAGTGAAATTAATATAATCGAAAAAAAAACTCATTCAAACATGTTTACTTAATGATCAGAGAACATCTAAAGAAAATGTAACAAGTGTCAAAGATTGTTTCCGGTTAATCGTATAAATACACCGCAAAGTGTGTCGACTCGGGAGAACTGCCAAGAAAACTCGTATAGGTATTTATCAGGCGGTGGCGATGCGTAAATAAATACCAAACAAAAGCTGACATAGTGCCAGCGACGTCAACAAGTGACATAATGTTGAGATTTACCAAAACAACTCAAAATTGCTGTGCTTTTATTCTTTGTTTTGCACCGAAAAGGTTAAAAAGAAACCGGTCTATAACCGGTGATATGAGGAATGCGTAATATTCGCGAAGTAAACACATCGGCATCTTGACTATTTACAATTATACTTATAATCTGTGATTTGAGCTAAAGTATTTAAATAAGAAAACTTTGTATAAGAATTTATCGAGAAATACACACCGATTCTCGGTGGCAAATACAGAGACGAATGACCCTGAATGCGTTGGTATTATTTTGATGTCGTGAGTCATTTATGCTCGCAGGGTCGCGAAATAGACATCGTGCACACACGATGCAAATTATCACGCTTCTTTACATTCCGTCGTTGTTAGAATTTATAAAAATCTTACTAATATGCGAATGTTTAGATGGATTGATTGATTGTTTGAAGGTATCTCCAGAACGGCTGAACGGATCTCGATGAAATTTAGCATACATATAGGACATAGTCTGGAAGGACACATAGGATATTATGTTTTTTTAATAAGTATTAAACATAACATAGATAATAAAGACAAAAAGTATTCAGTATTATTTTTAAGTAACTAAACATGTCGCGAAATATTATTCGTACTATGAAAGGGGTTAAATGCCAGCTGGCTTTTTATAATTACTATTAGATAATAATCCTGTACTCTATTAGATTAAAAAAAAAAGATAATTAAGTTAATAAGGGAACAAATTTTATATTATAATTATTTAAGTCGTATATGTTGTGTTAATTCTGTCAATTTTCGTTATTATTCTCTGTATGACATGAATAATAAAGAGGGACATTAGCTTCCCGATGTGTGGGAAGTGATATATGTACAATCTTGCACGTATTCGCAACATACATATGACGCATACGTACAAATATTATTCATAGATATGTCGCTGTTTAAGTTATTGTTGGAACAATAAATTCTTTTATAATATAATTAAAATAATGCTAATTAAAGTATACAATACTCCATTTGCACTGCTAAAAAATTGTGATTCCGTTTGGATTTAAATAATCTCGATTAGAAAGATAAGTGGTTGTTGTTTGATCTAGCACCAATGTTAATTTAGAAAACCGTTGCATCAATATGTTAAAATCGTATTCGGGTTATTAAAACTTATGTATCGAGCCAAGTCCCTTGAGTGTGAGACGCGAGAGTGAACATATAAACAAGGGGGTGGCAAGCCTCGATTACGTGAACACCCTCCCTGCCACTTAGACTTAATGTATGGTCAGGGCCACGTCCGCACTTTGTTTATAACCATCTTCGTTGGTATATAAAATATTAAAAAGTACAAAATCACGTTTTATAATGTGATTAGTTTTTCGTTCGTGATTTAATATTCAAATTATACTCTACTAGCTTTCGCCCGCGACTCCTTCTGCACGGAATTAAAAAAAAACTTAAATCTACATCTTTGCCAAATTTCAAAGAGATTCATGCAGCCGTTCTGGTGATATCTTCTAACAAACATTCATCCATCCAAACATTCGCGTTAAAAATATTAGTAAGATATAGTTTTATCACTGCATTAGACGTATAATATATAAGTTACGTAGTCTACTCGTATGCTTTTTAACTTAGATAAGATAGAAAAAAAATGAAAGGGACATACGTCTACTTACCTTATAAGAGCTACCCTGCTTGATGCGAGTGACTATGCGGGGATGCGTTCATGTCTCCCACCTTGTAATTTCCACCACCTGGAAATAAATAAAAACGTAAATAAACGCACAACCAAAAGAAGTAAACAAATCAACAAAATAGGTTCACAAGTAGCTTAATTACATATATAGGAATCGGTTAAAGATAACTGCTTAAAAATTGAATTGCAAGATTCAGATTCACCCAAACTTACATACATACGTTGCAAGTTAAATTAAAGCTTATAAAACAGTCAATTTCATAACATCCTTCTTTTTGGTGTCGGTATAAAAATAAAAAGTTTTCACATAAAACATATATTGACATTCGTTGTTACGAAGTAAAGATACAATGAAATTCCGATTTCATTTAATTATATTTTCTATATTAAATAATAGTGTTTGTATGTAAAATGGCATTATATTTATAGGCATTATATCAGATAAGTGCATAGTTGTAGGGATAACGTTTTTCTAAGCGGCTCTGATATACGAGTAACACCTGCCTTCGAGCTATTTATAAAGTTCCTGCCGCAGGCAAGCAGGTAACTTAAGTTGTCTACGTTTTATTACTTTGTAGCACCATACAATAACCTAAGTAAAGAAATAAAATAGATTCATTTATAAGTAAACTAAGCAATTAAAAAAATCAGAACAAACTATTTAAAAGGGACTGGATGTCAAAGATTAATCGGATTCGTAAAATATTTGTTAATATAATCAGCATAATCTTTTTAAGCTATACTCGCCAGTAACATTACTTTCCTATCAATTCCGCAAAAAAAACTATCGCATGATTTTTCTTTTCCTTTGTCTCAAAATTATGGAGTCAACTAATTTTAATAAAGGTCAATGTCAAGGCCAAGTTACAGGTCAGTATAAATGTAATCCTTCATTGAATAAATCCCTTTTTTTTAAAGAGTTCATCTGCTTCTATTATGGACATTGGCCTACATTCGCATCCGGCGCGACCGATTCACATCACACGAATTGACTTGTAAAACGATATTGTATAAAAAACGCATAATAGTACGATTTGCATAACACATTCTGTTGGATTATATCAGTTACGTAAATATACATTATATTCTATTATAAACTACTAACTAAATATACTAAAATATAATGAGTTTATTCATATTTATTGCGATTTTTTCTTTATCTATACTTATATTTAGATCCGAGAAGAAATTCAAAGATATGTGCGAAGTCAACCAACCCGCACTTGGCCAGCGTGGTGACTATGGCCTAATCACCCATAACTTAGAGTAGGCTCCAAGCCCCTCGGTGGGGACGTATAGTGAGCTGAAGATGATGATGATATTAGATCGTTGATATAAAAATTCATTGTCTCTATTCGGGCCAAGATGTTTGTCTCAATATTTGACACAATGCAATTTTTTCATCCATAACCGGATCAAAGAATCATTGTTTCAGACCGTACGAGTATATGATTACATATGGCGCTTGACTTATTTAAACTAAAGATAATTTTTCGTACCATTTTATAAAATAATTATTACTGCAAGATATATTATAGTGACCTTATCTCATGTTTTTTTTTCTTTTAATTTAAAGACAAATAACAAATAACTGCTTTTTAGAAGCAAAATACTAAAACTAATATCAAATTATTTATAGTTTTTTTACAACAAACAACATAAATCAGTAAAATCAACTAACATTAACATCATCAAATTGAATTAAAGACAATCTAATTCAACCATAAATCGATTATGACTACGACAACATTCGGCCATTATGTAGAAAGCAAGATAAAGCCAATTTTTCATCGGGCGCACGAACGAGTGGAGCGTTTGTGTACATGTGTGCACTATTTACGTACAGAGCTCACAGCTGTGCCGGGTCAATGACCTCGCCGCGCGCGAAACAAGGTGAATCGTAACTTCTTCGCTTTTTGTTTGACCGTAACTTTACTCATGTCAATTAAATTTCAATATTTTTAAAAAATAATGAGACGTGTAATAATAATAATTTAGAACTTGGTCTAGGGAAATCAAGGAGTATATTTAAAAAATCGTTACGAAACTTCGATCGCCACATTTTTTTTATTTTTTTATTTCGAACAGAATGACGTGAATTATGACTTTCTAGTTTTTTTATAATGATGTGAAAAAATATATCAATTAAAACTTCGATGCTTTCGATAAAATTGGTAGCGTCACGGCCGACGGCACTCGATATTTCGACACGATCAAATCCAACGTCCAAAAAGTTCTTTGAGAAGAAATTAAAACATTTTCGTACAATACTCAACTTGTTTCACTTTGTTTCAAACAATTCGACCTCTAGAAATACTTCAAGTGAATTAATAAAAAAAATTATAGTTATATTTTTATTGCTATACTAGCTGTCGCCCGCCGCTGCGTTCGCGCGGATTAAAAAAAAACATAATTAGTATCCTACGTGTTCTTCCAGACTATGTTCTACATGTGTGTCAAATTTCATAGAGATCCATGCAGCCGATTTGGAGATATCTTCAAAGAAACATTCATCCATCCATCCATCTTAACATTCACATTTATAATATTAGTAAGAAATAAGATTGCCCAAAGTTATTTTACGAAAAAAATCGAGGGAACATATTAGCTTATTATTCATTTATTTTATAAGTTATTGAACGACGAAACAGATTGAAAAAAAATCCAACGAGGAAAATAAATGCATATGAATTGCGATCGACAACTAGTCGGTATGTTAATATTTTAGTTGTAGTGAAAGTGGACAAAATATTTTATGTAAACGATATACGGGTGTTAAATCAATGTGCTTATTCTAGCGTATTTATATTACGCTTGTGGGGCATGCGTCATTACTTCGTAGAAGGTGAATAACATGTGTTAAACATATAAAGGTTCGAAAAGTTTATACTGATTTCAGAATACGCGTGACAATATTTCTTATTAAACAGGAAACATAATTACGTTTCCTTAGAATGACTTAAAATTAGTCACAAATTTAATATTTTGGTATTTCGAAAAATAGACACGAGATTTAGATATTAATTTGACGATAATTATATATTTTAAATATAAACTAGGAGCTATAACAATATTTCTACAATATAACGTTACAATTACGTCTATATATTGCATCTTTGTAAGAACTAAGATTCACAATGTCAATAACTTATATTTAGTTTTAAATCTGTGTACATTGTGTTATTTTAAGGTAATATAATTATCTAAGATAGCCCTACCCAGGCGACAATATGAAATCCTGCGTAGGAATACGTTAGTGCTTTGTGATAGGAGATGGCACGCCTCGTTATTCATTTGTTCATTGGTACGGAGCGGCACGGTTTCGAAACTACGACCGCAAGATCGTAAATCAGATGCCCAGCCGCTATCACAGTCTTAATAAAACGTTATTTATTGCTCACTCGTTTATATATGCATTTAAAATATGTTGAGACCTCGAATTATAGAAAGATTAAGAATACTTTGAATTACATAATATATGTACATGATAGGTATGTATATAATTGTTGGATTTTCATAAAAACGTATATTCTTAACTGATGACTAAATTAACAATACGCAATGAAAGTAAAGACAAATCGCCAGTGTTACTGGATGAATAATGGATGGATGTTTGTTTGAAGGTATCTCCAGATCTTGTAGAAATTATGCATAGTAGTAGAACACGTAGTTTACTAATTAAGTTTTACTTTTATTCCGCGCGAACGGAATTACGGACGACAGCTACTTGTAGTGTGACTCAAAATTAAATATCAACCCAGTGATTAGATTATAATAAATATTGTTTGTATGTTGTCTATTAATATTTAGAGATGATTTATAAGTACGTATAGTGTCGCAATTTTGTAACCCATTAATTTAACACGACATTAATCTTACAAGGCATATATGCGTAGGCTTTATTCCCCTTACTGTCCCATTTAGAGCACGTCGTAGTGTCTCCAAACAGGGGTGAGAAGAGAGGGAATGAAAATTATGAAATTTACCCCTCGGTCACCCCGTAAAACTATATGGGGTGAATATAATTGATTCACTAAACAAATTCGTATCGGGAAAACTGCGCGCTAGATAAATTAAAACTGATTTCCCCTGTTCACAATTACGTCTATATGTTGAATCTTTGATATAATTAAGAGTCACAATGTTTAATAACGTACATTTTGAAGGGTTTTTATTTTTAATCTAAATTTAATGAACACATTTACTTCGCTTTTTGACTAAAACACAGCTGAATCTAGTTGTTAACTAACCTTACCGCGCCTTATTTGACGACACAATATGACGCGGTAACGTTGCTAATTTTTTATTGGACATTGGCAAATGTGATGCACGTGACGTTTGCCAACAATTTCCACGTGTGGACATACTCCAAACATTAGTGACGCACATCTTTATATAGCAGACAAAGTAAATAAATACATAATGTTATTCAACGAATGTAGCAAAGAATGTAAAAAAACTTGTGTGTTTCCTTCATATTGCGATATATCGCCACATATTTTTATTTTTGTACCTACTTAGTTAATTTTGTGAACGTAACAATAATCGTACAGACTTACTTCTTTCTATCCTTTTATGCCAAGTGAATGAATTATTGTGTTATTCTTTTTTTACGGAAATAATATGACAATGGCACATAAATATCTGTATAAACAAATTAATGTAGTGCGTCAGTACGTGGGTATGAAGCGAATGATCGAGGAGGTTGGCGTCGAGCCGACTCGAACAGAACAAAATTAACACTCGTATGTAGGCACTTTACAATCGACTTTTTAAAGTAACGCAACAGCTGGATGTACGCTTTCACTTTCCGTTGAGGCTAAGCGACTGATACATTCCATAACCGTTGCCTAGAAACGGGAAAGAATACGGATTTACATGTTTGGAAAATACCAAGTTGATGTTTACAGTTAGTATAAGCTGAGATGTAATAATATTATTGTATAGTTGCCAAAATAAATGGAGACAATGTCGATATATAAATAGATATACTGTTTTAATACTATACTTTCTGGTGGTAGACGAATCGAGCTACACAATGTGTGTAATAATTTTTTT